GGGGTGATAAATGATCCAAACTACTTGGGCTTAGTTCGAATTCGACTTATTTTGAGCTCGACTCGACCTTGTTTGTTTTTCTGAATGAGTCGAACTCAAATAATTTTTTAGGCTCGCTTAAATAATGAGCCCTATAAACTTGCGTCGAACTCATAAAATTTAGCTCGCTTATATGTAAAATAACCGAGTTACTCGAACTCTACCTGAGTTCGACTTATTTTGAGCTTGGTTCGAGTTAGTTCATTGAGAAAATGAGAAGAGTTTGAACAATTTTTTAAATCTATTTTAAAAAATCAGCTCATCACACTCGGGCTCAAACTCGTTCGTTCGGCTCGTTAACCACCCTTAAATGTGATCATACTTCAAGTTCAGTATGCAAGTTTCACAATTATTTCATGATCAGCTATTCTGAATTTAACAAGATATTCTACGAAAAAGTATAGATTCTATGATATTACGTGAAGTGAATCCTAATCCAAGCCAAATCGAGGTAGTAAGTGAAAAAATAACACAAACGAGATGTGTGCTTCAATTTTCATCAACTTGATTACAATTGGAGTCGATCGCTTAAAGTTGAAAGAAAATATGATTTTGGTGTCATCAAACATTATTCTGGTGCCAAATGTTTGGAGATTTCATCCAAAAACCTTGGGCGTTTGAAAATTTATCTTTCTTTTTTTCATTTTTAGAATAGACTGTTTGAAAAAAAGTTAGATCCGAGTATTGGGTCCTCTAGCTCTAGGGAATGATTAAACTCATTTGGACATGATACACTTGCACTCAACTAAACTTAATTCAATTCAACTTACAAAAACTTTGTCCCAACACAATGACGGTCGGATGCCAAAGTAATTTTAATAAGATGTAGTTGTTTTTTTTTAATCATTTCAAAATTTAATCAAGTCATGCATGTATAGGCACTCTTATTCTCATCATCATGTGAAAATCGTGACTTGAATTTGAGTTCATGTATAGTGGAGTTCGTGACATACAAGTGGGTTACGGACGGGATCAATTAATTTATGAATCGAATAATAGTAAGATATTAGCATCCTAGTCTCGGTTTAGCCTTTATATCTTGCGCTAATGTCATGTTACGGAGACTCCCGCTGATTCTATTGACAATTTTGTGGTGCAGGACAGGAGTGGCTCAAGAGCTTATGATGTCTAAAGCGACAAGAGTTAATGAGGCTTTTATTGTTTTTTAGTAATAATATAAATTTTTTATTTAATTTTTTTTTTCTGATCTTAAATTGCTAATTGAATTTTTTTTATCCAAATTTTGCTAACATATTTTTTTTTTGATTGATAGTATGACTTTTGATCATAGATATTTATAGGAATATAATTTATTTCTTCATTCATACTTGTATATTATTTATCAAAATTGTGGTATTACATTATTGACTTTATTACGTACATGTTGATTATTATGTTTATGTTGGCTTATTTCATTATCTTTTAATTTTTTATGATATTTTACTTGTTTATATATTCAACTTTCGCCTAATTTTTTTGTTACAAGTACAAACCTTATAAAAAATAATAATTATGAGAATGAAGGATTTGGCTGGTGTTTTGTGTTTGAATTAGAAAAAAAATATGAGTCTAAGAAAAGTAGAGAATGTGTTTGATTTTATTTTATTTTTGGATTAGAGAAAGATGCTTATTATAATTTTTTTTATCGGACAAAGAGATTGATGATATCTCTTGGAATTATTTGAGGTGGGCTAAACTTTTGGACCTAAATTTTAAATTTTTTTTTTGGTTGACTTACTCTTTCAAGAGTTTTGTTTTTTTGTTAGGCTATATAGTAATGGATTTTAATATTTAATTTGTATTTTATTATTGACCTCTAAATTTGAGGCCTTATATTGTTATTGTCTATTCCCGAAGGCACAAAATAATAAACATATTTGTATTCATATGTAAAATCAAATCACAAATATAAAAGAGAGATAAATGAATTTAAACATCGGTTGTAGAGAAGGTAAGAGGTGGTGGGGCGATAGTGATAATGGTAGGAGACGGTGTTGGTTATGATAGAGAGCAATGACCATGGTGGCAGTGATGGTGACAGCAGTGGCGATAGTGATGTCGGCGACAGTGGCAGTGGAGGTAGGGAGGCGGCGATGGTGGCGAGGGTAGTGGTGGTGGTGGTGGCGACGATGATAGTAGAGGTAGTGGTGGTGATGGTGATAGTGGTAGAAGTATTGGTGAGCGATTTCAACCACTATTTTTTTTTTAAAGTACTTATAAAAAATAATTCTTAAAAGTACTTTTAAAAAGTCATTTCAAACACACCTTTAGGGGTCTATTTTTTCAATTAAATTTAAAGCGTTAATATTAGTCGTTAAATTAATTTTAAAGTAAAATTTAAAGTAAAAAATAAAAGTCATTTTATTTATATTTTAAAATTTAAATGTCAAACTATTTTGCTGTATTTGCTGCATTATACGGCTGGCTCTCTGACTCGAGTCAGTTTTTGAGTGCGTTTGCGATTTTCTGCCGTCTATACTCCAATGATCGACTTCCCTACTGGGTTTGGACTACTATATATATATAGATATATATATATGGTCATGCCCAAGGAGTGGTTCCACCCAATTACCTCCTCAAGCCTTTTTACCTTGTTTCCAACCAAAAAAAAAAAGGAGCTACTGATAGGATATGTCATTTTCTCTCTTTACGCTAAGATTAACAAAACAAACAAATATTGAAAAGCAGAGTGAATCAAACCCAACAAGATAGAGGCAAACGTCAGAATGTTGTGTGTAAATCTGTATGATCTTCCCAGATACGCACACTTTGACTAGGGGATATGGATAAGAGATACTTGTTACCATATTCATGAAAAATCTTCATGTTTTTGGGAACCTCCAATTATTTGTTACAGTATGCTTCTGTGATAAAAAGTTTTTCGTGTCTTTTGTTCTCCTGATTGCCATGTTTGAACAAGGGCCTAGCTCTGTGCATATGACATGTGAGAGAGAGACAGAGGCAACTTCACAGTGTTAACCTAGCTATCTTCAAAGGCTATACAGGTAGAATGTTTGCATCAGTGGTTTTCAATACTATTGTTGAGATATGATTTATCTATCTTATTATGATTGTTGAATTGACAAACGATCTTATATCATATTAGAATTCATTACTAACTTAACTATACAAATGAAATAGTTTGATAAATTAATTTTTTAATAGTATTTGTACACATTTTTTGAGTTATCCAACCAAATTTTGTTTTCAGTGTATAGTGTTCTTGGCAGAAAATAGGGTCTCCACCCGATATTGTGTATCGTGGCAAAGACCCGATAGGGTAAGGACCGACCTCTATTTGTATATCACATTATATGATCAGAAATTTAGAAATAATATAATGTTTGTAGATGTCTATGAAGTTATAAATTGTTCCAAGTATGTTGACCCAGTTGACTTGTTAAACTTATGCACACTCATATGTATACTGTCACGTCCAGACTCTCTGTGTCACTCTAATGCTATTTTTTTTATTAGATGTTAATAGAATTTATCAAAACCCATTAATATAAATTAGGTCCAGTTGAGTTGAGGAGAGAAAATTGGAGAAAAAAATCGTGCGAATAACATTATAACTATGTGATTCGTGAAATATCGAACTCTCTATTGTTATAATCGATCATGGGATGTTTTTCATATGACTCATGATCAAGGTAATAATCTTTCTATCACAAGATTGACCTTGCACTAGCAGATCAAGCATTATGCTGCTCAAGAATAATTAATCCAATGAAGTTGATTTATTTACATTCATAAGATTAATAAAAGTTATCATTTTTCCAAAAGTTTGGCTTCATCTAATCAACTTTAAGCTTAAAGGAATGTTTATTAAAGTGATAGTGCCGCATTAGATTTCATAATTGGTGGGATTGATTTAATAAATCAATTAAATTACTAAAAGATTGTTAAAGGTTACAAAAAAAGTTTCTCCTTTATGCATAAAGAAGCTTCTCTTCCAAGACCCCAATAGTTTATTTAATCTAAAAGTTATCCTCTTCAAAATTATTCTCAAAATTTTGTACCACAATTAATGTTTTTTGAATTTAATTTGCTGACATAATTTGTTAGGAATCTTATCAAATACTGGACCCATTGTTAATCTGAATGATTAGATTAGCAAAATAGATCCAAGTAGCATTGTTCTTTGTGCCACATAAACTATTGGGAAAAAATAATTTTTTTTTAATTTTTTTTCTTTGGCAATTTCATTGCTTTTGGGGACAAGACTTGGCTATGCTCACCTTACCATGTCCCTTTGATGGTTATCTTGATTGTAACATCATTTTGTCTTGAAGTTGTTATTTTTGGGTAAATATTAGGCATCATGCTCTAGGGCCAATTATTGATATTTAAAAAATAAAGAAAACTTTGACTTTCTCTTGCAATTTTCCTCCATAATCCCTGATTTGTAGGAAGTAAGATGCGATGATGATAATAGAAGCTCACTGTTTTCCCTTATGCTTTCCTTATAAATTCAGAGAGTCATTAGGGCTGTAAATGAACCTATTTGATTATTAATGGCTATGGATCTACACAGATAGGAGCTTATTTAGATTTGTTCATTTATCGAACCAATCGAACTCAAGCTCAATTTTAATGCCTGTTTAATAAACCATCCTAACTAGAGCAATGACTTGTTTTGCTCTTTAAGATATATAATAGGAATTATATAACACGTATTTTATATATTGTATGCAAAAATTAAACAAGCCTAATTTGATATTGAACATGATCCTAAACTCAAATTTAAGCTTGAACACAAATTCAAGCTCAATTTGTTTAACAGACGAGACGTGCCGAGATAAGATTGAGTTTATCACAAGCTCGAGTTGAGTCTGAACTCTTTGCGAACGAATAAACCAAACCCAAAAGGTCTGGTCCTCACCTCAGTTCTATTCATTGCTCCCAAAACAATTATGTTTGAGAATTGTAACACTCATATAGTACTGTTTAAAGAATTTATAGAAAGTAAGCAAAGCTCTGTCCTAAAAGTTGCACCCATTATCATAAGTCCACCAATAGTAAGGTCTCAAAGACGCAAGTGATAAACAATCATATCCCCTTTTTAGAATTTTAGATACAAAACCCCGTCATTATTCTTAGTTCAACCCCTAAATTGGATTCTGCACAAAATGAATTTACTAGAGTTATACATACAGAGACACGTTCTACTAATAAATATATCATATTTCAAGCAGATTCTCTACAGCCAAGCACAAACAAAATTTGCCTTCCAGGCTCCTACGACAAAGTACAACAAGCTGCCATTAACTCATTCTAGTCCACCTTCATCTCCAACCAAACATGTCCATAATTTCTAACACACAAACCTCAAATTTCCTTACATAATTGTACATGCATTCGGGTTTTCGTCGCTAAAAAGTATACTGAGCCTCTCTTCGGGTGCGTTTGGATTGGGAAGTGCTTGAACGACGTTTTTCACATAACCAGAGGGTGCCTTCTTGTCATAGGCTTGAGGTGCATAAGGGTAAGAGACCAGATTGTATTGGACATAAGGCCAAAACTCAGCTCTCTTTCCAGTGCTCTTCACTTTGTTCAACACCTTCTTTGGCTCAACATAACCACTAACTGTTACCTTGCTTTGTTTTTGATTTACATCCACTGATTTCACACCTGTATTAAAACCAAAGAAGAAGGTATAAATCAACAAAAAAAAACCGATATATCATTTAGTAACGTTCTTTAAGCACTTTTATCTTAGTAAAAAGTTAATATTTAGCAAAAGTGACCTATATGAATCTCGTAACTGACTTTAGAAAGTAAATTGCATGTATTACTTTGTGTGTGTTCATAAAAAAAATAAAAATAACAAAGTGCTTAAAAAGAGGTGTCGAACGATATCTAATATTAAGATTAAACAACAAAATTATCCTCACTATAGACTAATAATCAGATACACTGAGAGAAGACTAGTATTGGGAAAGAAGTCATATGGTTGTTGATGTATGTAATGGTGAGTGATAAGGACTGTATTAAACATGCAAACTACCCAATAAATATTCAAGTTGGTTACATTAAGGCTCGTTTGGTTTGTTGTGGCTTGCATTTATTGAGCTAATGTAAAAGGTTTGTCTGGGTTCCCAAGTTCAGATTGTAAAGGTGCAGACTTTTCTGGCAATACGAATCTAAGCATGGAGAAATGTGTCATTCTTGTTTCTTTTTTGTTGCTTATGCCCTTGAGACAACCACAAATTTGCACATATAGACGGTTGCTTCCCTTTACATGTATGCACAGAGCTTAATATGGGTGTGTGTGTGTGTGTGTGTGTGTGTGAGAGAGAGAGAGAGAGAGAGAGAGATTTGAACCTTTCATGGAGGTAACAGAATTTCTGACTTTCCTTACACAGCCATCACAATCCATTTTCACCTTGATTTCAACTGTCTGGAAAGAAGGCAAGCATAACCCAATTAGAAATGGAGAAATAACGAAAAAAATCAATAACAAACCACAAACAACAGAGAGAGAGAGAGAGAGAGGGAGTTTTGTAGTTTCCTCTTTGCCATAGTAACTTTAGCTAAGCAGGCAAACAAATAAACAAAGAACAGAAAGGAAGCTGGAACATGAAGTGAGTGAGGATGAGTATCTCCACCTGCATGGGTTTGCGTTTCCTCTTCGTTATGGTGATATCTGAAAACATGTCTGAGAGATTGTCAAGAAAACCCATTTTTCCTTCAACTCTTTGGAGAGAGAGAGAGAGAGAGATGTTGGAAGGTGAGTAAATGCTAAATCTGATTTCACTCTCCTATACTTATACACAAGTATGGGAAGCTTGGTAAATGAAAGAGTTTGAGAGAAATAGGTGTAAGCAAGCTGTGGTTTGAAATTAAATATTATAAACTGAGAAAGCGACCTGTGTCCACCTAATAATGGTGGACAACTGGGCATTTTGGCTCCCAATTAACCATTACCTTAAATTTATTCTTGTTTTTTTTATTTGGTTAATGGGAAAAGATTACACTACCATATATCGAAAATTATAATTTTTTGATATATAAATTACAACTTATAAAGTCATGATTGATTCTAAAATACTGTAATATTAAAAATAATAAAGTTTGGTACCGATTTTTTTTGGTATGGTAGACTTTCCCTTGGTTTTCAGATAATTATTTTCTTTATTTTTTTTGTTATTAAAAAAAGGGTGGACACAAATAATAGAGTTGAAAGAAAGACCATCACTAGTAGTATCGATTGCGACAATTACACCTCCCAACAACGATCCTTACTAAACTAACATAAAAGTCAATTATTAAACTCCAATACGAAATTGAAGACTTGAACTATCCACAATGCGTGGGAAGGTTTAGAGGTTAATTGAAGCTGTAGTTCTGGCCCTTTTTTCCCTCCTTCGGTGCGTTGAAAAAGGAAAACTGTTGGAAAGTGCTTTTGTGTGCTTTGATTTGAATCTGTGCTTCACAGGCTGCAGCTTGATCTACACATTCTTTTGAATAAGTACTATGAAATGACTAAAATACCCGCTACTTGTTTCGATGTTCTTACTGAAATCATGTTACGTGGATCCTTACATTTTGTGAACAATGGGCCTAATTTTTTATTTGATTAGCACGGTTCCATTAGGAGATTTGAAGTGGTCCACATGTCACATTAGTTTTTTTCGAAAATAATCACTTTATAATTATAAAGATAATTTTTGAGTCAAAGGCTAATAATTGAGATTAAGTCAATCTATCTATTATAAGATCATGGTTATCATCTCAGTTACAGATTTCTTGATGAAAAGAAATTTATAAGGTTATATTATCCAAAAAATAAGAATTATGGACCGTGACTTGTCTATAAATAAAGGGTTGTGATTACTATCAAAAGACGGATGTATACCAAACTATAAACTCTTTTCTCACACCTTCATAAAGTATAAACGAGGGTGTTTATTTTGTTCTTTTGAGTGCTTGGTTAATCAAAGACTCGTAATTTGAAATCACAAGATTTTAAGACTAAAACGGTATAGCAAAAGGTAAATATTATATTCCGCTACGACGTACATTTCCACCGCACAAATCTAACACCGCCCGTATTTCGTGGGCGTAGTAGTCGTTATCCCATGGACTCCAGCATGAGTTTCTCTGGCATTCAATGGGAACACCGCCAATGGAAACTCTCAAGGTGTTACTTGAACACGTCCTGGTAATTAAAAGGATGTGACATATCGTGTTGCTACGAGACATCAATGGGGTCAACCTTTCTCACTATACCAAAACAAATTTGGAAAATTATAATGAAAGCCCCTATAATATTTAATAACTATATAGAAATACCCTCATTTTTTTTTATTAGTTTCAATATTTATATTAATTAACATTTATGTCTATCAAAATTTGTTACGAGAAATATTATTTGAATCTAAAAATTTGACATAATTTATTAATCTAATAATACAATTTCGTTGTAACAATTGAATTAATATTAAATTCTTAAATTTGATGAGACTTATAATTAATTTAATAGTTATAATAAATTAATAGTCAAAACGGGGGTATGGACATTAGGTAGGAGCTAAGCCTAGATTGGGCAGCCCCCATTTCAAGGCAATAATGCAAGAAAGATGGGCTCCACATCATTTACTATAGAGTATGACGATGCCTTTGCACTTGTATGTAACTATCAGTTTAGCAATCGCAAGATCAACATGGAGGATGAAGACAAGGTTACCACAAAGAGAGAGAGAGAGAGAGAGAGAGAGAGAGACTGTTTTGGAGAGAAAAAAATGTTATTGGATAAATTACATTGGTCCCCAATTTTTTTATCTCATAATTAAAATAAGTACCCTCATAACTTCTAAGATAAGATTGAGACATCATATTAGAGAACTAGTCATTACTCGTGCCTGAAAGCACTATATAACAAACAAAAAATTCTTACACAATTGTCCAAATTCAAAAAGAATGGTCTAAAAATTTTCATATCAATTCTTCTTTTAAAATGAATTGAAATATATTTCTGACATATCCTCCAAATTAATAGAACTGTCAAAAAAATATATAAAACTCTTCGAAACAATACTAAATATACAAATGCCTCCGAAAAAAAAAAACAAATACTAACATAATCCATTGAAATTTACAATTTTTAAGTAATAAACAAAATTTTACTCATTTATAAGACTCATGAATTTATCACTTTTATCACCACTCAATTCAATAACAGAATATAATTTAAACACAATCACCATATTTTCAATCCACCTTATTCCCATGTAATAAATATCTCAAGCAAAAAAAAAAAAAAATACTAACATAATGTAATTAAATTCACAATTTTTAAGCGATAAATAAATTCAACCAAATCTTACTTATTTATAAAACTCATTAATGTATCACCAGTATCTCCATTCAACCCCAACTGACACAATAAAATTATAAATTTAATTACCAAATTTTCAATCCTCAACATATAAATATATACATAAACATAATCTCACACATTTATTTTTTGACTACTAACAAACATTCCTAATCAATAATTGTTTTTATTAGAAATACAATAATTCAAGTTTTTATGATAAAATAATAATAAATTAATATCTAATTAAAAAATAGAGTAAAAAATACGGACTTCCCCTAAGTTTTGACAATATTATGCGGACACCCCCAAATATTTTATAAATAACATGGAGATCCCTGTAGTTTAATATTTATTACACAGAAGCCTCCTATGTCTCCATTCCTTCAATATTGTTAACGAAAAGTGATGACTTTATCCCAAAAAAATTATTATTTTTATATTTTCCTTTCTCCAACTTTAGTACCCAAAAAAATTAAAATTTTAATAAAATAATATAAGATTTGATTTAGTACCCAAAAAATTGATATAATTTAGTACCCAAAATAAATTGATTAAATGAATTTTAATATTAATTTGATAACAATAAAAATCAATTTGATATTAATTCGACTAAGTTGAATTTAAATTGGACAAAATTAAATCTCAATTTTTGATAAAAATATATATTAATTTATAATTTAAGGTTCATTTTGTGTTGAATATTATTTGTTGTTGATTATACCAACATGAAATTGATCCAAAATAATAATTTTTTTTGTTGTATATAAACTTAAAAATTTGTATTTTAACCCATAAAATTTAAATACAGATTTTTCACACCATAGCGTATTCTCTCTTACTATATCATTTGATAAATTTTATTTTGGTCAAGATTCAACCACACATAAATCAAACCAATTGTTCACCCCCACTTTTTTTTAAGAGAATCGCTCACCTCCGCTTGTTAAACTCAAAAATCTCTGGTTCACATAAAAATAAGTGAAAGTAAATTAAAAAGTTGACAAAACATTTTGAAAAATTGATAGTTCAAAAAAATTTAGTACCAAAATTATAACAAATACATCAAACATTAAAAAAAAATAAAAACATAATTTATATAAAAACCATTATCAATGAGAATTTTAGAAAAATTTAGGCCCTGAATCAATTAAGACCTAATTTTCAGGCAACGATGTGAAACTCAGATAAAAAAGTCATCAAATCGTGAAGTGCTATTTTTTATTTACTTTAAGTGTTATTTACAAATTAAGAACCAAGTGACAAAATATATGTTGCCAGATATATAAAATTTTGAATTAATTTTATGGAATAAATATTGCATAATATGTAGTTTCATGTGTTTTATGGAGTAAATAATAAAAAAATAACACTTAAAAAAAACAAAAAAAAATAAGATAATAATATGTGAGAGAGAGAGAGAGAGAGAGAAAGTATAAGATAGATATAAAGAGAGTTAGATGAGCAATAGGAGTCTTGAAAAAAGTTGGCATGAGAACCGTCAGATCAATAATCGTCAAGTGATCTGAGCTGCAAAAAGTTAAAGATAAAAAAATCTAGCTATTTTATTTTATAAATAAACATGTCATTGCCTGTGTCTGAAAACACTATACAACAAACAAATAAAATCTTAAATAATTACCCAAATTTAAAACGAATGACTCAAAAATATTCATACAAATTCTTTTTTTAAAATGACTCAAAATATATTGTCGGTCATATTTTTCATATTAATGACATTGTCATAAAAATATATACAAATTTCTCTAGGAAAAAAAATACTAACATAATTCCATTAAAAGTTATAATTTTTAAGCAATAAATAAAATCTTCCTCATTTATAAAATTCATGAATTTATCACTTTTATTACCACTCAATCCAATAACACAACATAATTAAAAACTCGACCATTATATTTCTAATCCACCCTATCCCCATGTAATAAATACCTCAAGCAAAAAAAAATGCTAATAGAATACAATTAAATTCACAATCTTTACGCCATAAATAAAATCAATCAAATCTTACTCATTTATAAAATTTATGAATTTATCACTATTATCTCTATTCAACCCTAAATGACACAATATTATTACAAATTTAATTACCAAATATCCAATTCCCCACATATAGATATACACAGAAAAACACTCATATACATTTTTTTTTTGGTTACCAAAAAACCCACCTAACTAATAAATACTCAAGTTTTTAAGATATTATAATAATAAATTAATGTTTAATTAAAAAAGGGGAAAAAATCATGGACATTTCTTGAGTTTTGACAATATTACATGGACAGCTTCCAACATTTTATAAATAACACGGAGACCCATTGAAGTTTGAATTCATTGCCTATAGACCCATTTGTCTCCCTTATGTCAATGTCACTAATGAAAATTGATAATTTCATCCAAATTTTTTTTTATTATTTTTACAATTGCCCCTCTCTAAATTTAGTACCAAAAAAATTAAAAATTTAATTTAGTACCCAA